ATGAACCTGAGGGCCTCTGGCCCGAGGGATATATATCGCCTGAAGGGCATTATAATCTAAAAATCCCCGTGGTGCATACAATGCTTTATTTTCTACTTAACACAATGTTTTTTCATCAATTTATTATCAATCAAAATCAGTCAAACTTGTATGACAGAATATTGTTTTGTATTTTGACATGTACCTGTACCTAGAAACGAAATAAATATTCCTATCAACATCAAGGCAACGGTGGTTGTGTGGGTTAACGCTCGACTACATGGGAAACGTTGATGGTAGACCGGGTTCGAATCCTGGCCAGACCGAAAATTATTTTCGGTCGGACATTTAGTGGCTGCCTAGGGTAAAGTGCAAATTAATAAAACAACAATAGCAGAAACACCTCAGGGTATTATAAGCAGGCGTTATAGATCATAACGCCTGCCGGGCTCATAATGCCCTCAGGTTGTTATAGGTATGTTAACGTATTCCGTTTCCTAGGTGATAATATTAAGGTAGAAAATAAAAAATATTTCATCCCCAGCAACCCGGGACAAGGGGTGCAACTGATGTTTGAAAGCATATTTTTTGAAATATCCGGGACAAGAGGTGAAATAATATATTTTTAAATTGAATCAGCACCTCGGTTAACAGTGGTTTTATTATGAATCTGTTGAAACGAGCAGATCTTGAAATATTTCAAAAAATATGCTTTCAGTTCTCATTTGCACCCCTTGTCCCGTGTTGCTGGGGATGAAATATATTTTTTATCTAACACCTGCTAGTTATAAGAGTCATCATCTGTGCCAATTTAGACAGGTAAACTATCAAATAACACACATAAGACCATAACCCACTAGTGGGTTATGGTCTATAACTCACTCTCTTGTACCATAAATAACTATCAAATTGAATCAATACCTAGGCTAACAGTGGTTTAAATATGAATCTGTTAAAACGAGCAGATTTTGAGATATTTCAAAAAATATGCTTTCTACCCTCAGTTGCACCCCCTGTCTCAGGTTCCTGGGGATGAAATATTTTTTCTAAAATTAAATCAGCAGTTAAGTTAATCGTTGTTTCATTATGAATCTGTTCGGATAATTTTTCTGTTGATGAAATCGTTACCATAGCAACAATTGTTGCGCTGCATGGCTGGGATTGGCTGATTGTAGAGTGGGCGGGGCTTGTGAAGGGTATCGCCGAAACATATAAAAAACAGCCGATTTTAGCCAAAAGGCAGTTAGTTCTCTACAGACAGTGATCTCACCTGTCTGCCTCTGTTCTCTGCGCCAGAGAAAACGAAGAGCTCTGCCTCATTTTTTTCGACAGAAGTGTGGTGACTTGCTTACCCTGCACTTGGAGCGCGTATTAGGCTGACAATACTTTGCATGGGTCCCCTCACAATCGGGATCACTTTAGGTGGCTAGTGGACGAGCCCCCTAAGTATTGTTGGTGCGAGCTGCTTTCGAGCACGAAGAAAGAAACGAGAGAGCCAACGTTTAAATCCCCCGGGCACGAAATAAGGTTTTGTAAAACTCAGTTCGTCATAAGGGGAGCCTGCATCAATCCTTGAATTGGAGGTTGGAGTCCTAGGGGAGTACTTTGCATTAAACTAAAATACCCAACAAAAGTCCTTTTCAGGGCAATTGCCAGGGAGAAAAAGAAATTCGTATCTCTGGTTCTTAATTGAGCCCCGCGTTCTAGTTGACTCTAGACTCCTTTCCGCGTAAGTCACCTTTTGTTTTGGAAGCCTTCTTCAAAGGTTTTTGCCCACCACGCCATCCACGACGATTTTGATGCAATTTTTATGAAAATTCTCTTGTCTTTGACTGAATTGAAACTCTGAAAACTGATACATTTTCTTCTTCGAACGAAGGCTCACCAAGTTGGGACAAAGTTCAAAGATATACGTGAGAGTTTAAACTATCCAAACTTGAATTTTTATTGAGACTTTTCAGGGAAAAATCTCAATTTCAATTTTCAAATCAAATCAAAAGCAAGAACTGCTATACCGAGTTAGGACAAGGTTTATTGACAGGCTTCAGAGCCTAACTACTTCTAGCTCGATTTTTTCCGGAGGATTTTTAGGAAAAACCTCATCTTCACTGCAGTACAGACTAGACTTGCGACAAAACACACACGAACCTTCAAAGGTTAGACTGGTCTCCGGACTTGGTGCACCGTTTCTGTTCCCCCTCTGTTTATTTATCATCAAATTTTTTCGAAGCCGCTCGACGGTTTTCTTAGAATGCCATCTGAGCTTAACGTACTGTCGTTATATACAAACAAGTTTCCAGAAACCTTGTTAAATACAACTTGGGCTCCTCGGACTTCAAAAAGCCGAGTTGAAGCCCTGCTCTAAGTCCCCAATAACAACGTCGGTTCTCACATACTTTTTGTGGAGGCTGCTGGCTCGCAAGCATTACCTTCTTAGAAAGCCAGCGGGACCTCCTCTCAGTACAACTGAGAAGTTGTACCTAAACCGTGGGAAACAAAAAGGGTTGTTGCTTCACCCTACAACGCAACTGGCACCCCGACACTGACTTCAGACACAAAAATGACAAACCTGATGAATCCAGATTTTTACGGTGCCACTCTGGAAGAATTGGACACAATCCTGAATCAAGGTCCACTTTCAGCAGCCGTATCGATCGATTTTCTAAAATAACCGTTTTTTTTTTTTAATGGCCGCCATATTGGTGTCACAGGATGGGTGAAGCAAGTGCTGTGGGTCTAATCGATCTAATGGGTATATAAACATCGTCTGTGCTCAGTGGCTTGCTTTCTTCATTATTCGTCGGATTTTTCTGTGTACCGCTGCAAAACCTAGTTTCAGGGGACATTATTCAGCCCTGCATGACGTGACCCTATGTGAGTTCGTGTTTTTCTAGTTTCTGGGCAGATCTAGATTTCTTCGAGTGGGCCACGTCTCTCCTGCTCTGCTCAGGATCTTGCGACCCTTTTTGTGACGGTTTTAAATGTTTGAGTTCCACCAGTATTAGTAGTAGTTGTTCGTATTTTTGGTTAGTGCGGGCCGCTTGCTTCACATGTGTCGATGCAGTTGTCAGCTGTCTGAATGTCCCTCTCATTGAAGCGACGATACTGCATCTGCCCCTATCCCAGTCAGCCAGTCTCTCCTTATAGGAGTTCCATTCTGTGTGCCTTGGGGTTCGAACGTCCTGTTTCAGGAGCTTTTGAGGTTTCCTCGAATCCGAACAATATGTGTCTGTGGTCTGCCCTGGAGTCTTCCAAAAACATCCTTAATTCGGTATTTTTTTTCAGAAGTCCTTTGCTGCGCAGTCAAGTTTGTGGCTGACTGTCGTTGTGTTGTGGGAAATGTGGGCCTGACCCTCTATTTATAATAGATATAGAGTTCTTTCGGGAAGAGGTACTCAAGAAGAGTTCTTCCTCAGGGAAAGACGTTATCGCTGCCCCACACCGTTTTTTGTCGTAGCCGTAAGCCGATAATCGAGTCTCAACGCTCTGCAGTCCCCAGTGGCGTAACTTCAGATTTTGGACCTGGGGGCAGAGTGGTTTGGCGAGGCCCAATTACGATACACCACTGCAATATTCTATTTGTCTAAGAGCCGAATTATGGACCGGCTGGTAACATCTCTGGCAAATTTACCCTGCTGGTAAAACTAAAAATTGAAAGTCCGGAAATAATTATTTTGCAAAAACCGCCTACCATCTTCCACGCTAATGATTTTACTTTTTGCAAAATACCTACATTTCCCAAAAAAAATTTGGGTAGTAAATAGACAAGGATAATACACACTACTAAGAATTGCTTATCGGCCTCGTTTCTGCTAATCGCCGCCATATTGGTGTGTCACCATTTCCGACTTCATAAATAAGTCGTTAGCTGTTTGCACTAGTCGTCGTAGTGTAGAATTTAAAATGAAGAAAATTATTATTTAATTTTGATTAACGTAATAGGCAAAGAGGAAGATGAAAACGATATCTAAAAAAGAGTTGTTTTAGATTGTTATTTAATGCAATAAAACCAAGTATGCATAAAGCAAGAGCCCGCGGAATCATAACCTGTAGTGCAAACAGCCTACGTCAAGGCGAGAAACAAACATGCTGCCTACGTCACAACTGGTGATTTGGCGTGGTGGGGGGATTCAGATTTGTTCCACACAGACCTTATGAGGATCGGCTATCCTGTAGTAGTAGTGTGTATTATCCTTGGTAAATAGATAGGTAAGTAAGCAAAAGTTTAAATGATTTTCGTATATTCTTGGTTACACTCTGGTTTCGTAAGACATTATTTTGAGAATCGTACGAATATGTTATTCGTCTACTACCTCAGATGGGGCCCCGGAGCCTCTGGGCCCGGGGGCCACGGCCCCCTCTGCCCCCTCGGTAGTTACGCCACTGGCAGTCCCCCACAAGCGCTACGATTTCTCCTTGAGAGGCTGGTCGCGTCTGTTGTGGTTTTTTGGTCCATATGAGTTTTCTGTTCCTTTCCAAATCCCTATGGGGCAGTTGGAAGGAATTAATACAACGAGGTGCGCCCGGTTTCTTGAGTTTTGTCACATCCATCCCTCTGGCGCGCACGATTCCTTTGGATTGAGGAACTTTTTATAGTGGTGCTTCATTCGCATGACCCGGGCGATTGAGCCACCTCCATGGGCTTCTGTGATGCGTGACCACAATCAAAACCCATCATGTTTTTTCGGTGTGAGGCTACTATGTAGCCCATCAAACCAAAATCGTTACTCTAGTGCAGGCCCTTGACCACTAACACGAGAGTCGGGCAGGGGAAATGTTTTTCGAGTTCTGCAAGATTCAGGTTCAACAGGGACACTACGAGAAAGATGCAGCCAGGGGCATCGTATCCCTATCATTGTCTGGATGCCTTGTGGGCTTGAAAGTATAGGAGTGTTGGCGATTCAGGGGTTTGGCTCCCTGTGTAAAATCCACGAAGATTTGTGACTAGTATTTGGTCCGTTCAGTTTTAAACCGAAGTTCTTTCCAATTCCGGAACCCATTAATTAGTACTTACTTTCAAGGAAACTAGCAGACGATTTGTGGAATAAAGCCGCTATGGAATTTCCGGCTACGCTAAGTAAAGAATTATTGAGCGATATGGAACATCCAGTTGATTGTGTACAAACGGCTGCGGCGAAAGCACTAGCTGCTCTATTGAAAACTGATCAAGATCGAGTAGAACCCACAATCAAGACGTTAATTAAATTGTATAATGATAGGCTTAAGGTAATATGTTCGGACAAAAATAATTTAAAAAAAAATTAAACTCTTTTTTGTCTAGATGATACCAGCAAAAGTTGACGAATTTGGTCGAGAAATAGAAAAAGAAGTTGACACTTTTTACCCTAGAAGAGGTGTGGCTGTCGCAATTTGTCAACTAGCACCACTCATAACACCAGAACTTGTTGGCGAGTTGATGCAGTTTTTTGTTGTCACTTCTTTGAAAGACAGAAATGAAAATGTAAGGAAGGAAATGCTTAGTGCCGCTTTGAAAATTGTTGACATTCACGGAAAGGAAACAGTTGGAACTCTCTGGCCTGTGTTTGACAATTTTATGTGTAAATCTTCTAAATCAGCTCATTTTGATGCTGTAAAAGAAGCAGTTGTAGTATTGATGGGCGCTTTAGCTAGACATCTTGACAAAGACGATGCAAGAATCAAACCTATAGTTTTCCGACTTATCCAAGCTCTGTCAACTCCTTCTCAAACAGTAAGTAGGTATTGGATTTTTAATTATGAATAAACCCTGCAGTGGTGTGGTTTTTTTTGCACATAGGTTCAAGAAGCAGTGGCAAATTGTTTGCCACCTCTAGTACCATCTGTAAAAGATGAGGTACCCGGTTTTATCAACAAACTTCTTCATCAACTTCTGAAAGCCGACAAGTATGGCGAGCGAAAAGGTGCTGCGTATGGTCTAGCTGGACTTGTTAAGGGCATGGGTATATTGGCTTTGAAGCAATACGATATTATGAATAAACTAACTGAGGCTGTACAGGATAAAAAGAACTATAAACATAGGGAAGGTAAGGAGGACTCCTCTAGGTACTTTGATAATTTTAATATTTTTCACAAAATAGTTGGAAATGATGAAAAAACCTAGTAGGTAAAACTTTTTTTTCATATACCATATACCAACAAATAAAATAATGAGGTTAGGAAAAAAATTAATTGCTATGGAAATAATACATCTTGATTTCAGGTGCTTTGTTCGCTTTTGAAATGCTGTTCGAAATGTTGGGCAAACTGTTTGAACCTTACATTGTACACGTTTTGCCACACTTGTTACAATGTTTTGGGGATACTAGTCAATACGTCAGAATAGCGTCTAATGATACTTCTAGAGTTGTGATGGCAAAATTATCGGGGCATGGTGTTAAGTTGATTCTACCAGCATTGCTTGAAGCTCTCGAAGAAGATTCCTGGAGAGCAAAAGCAGGATCTATTGAACTCCTAGGATCCATGGCATACTGTGCTCCTAAACAATTATCGTCTTGTCTTCCTAGTATTGTTCCTAAATTGATTGAAGTATTAAGTGATTCGCATATTAAAGTACAAGAAGCGGGAGCTACTGCCCTTGAGGTAATAGGTTCCGTTATCAGAAATCCGGAAATTCAAGGTAAGTAATATAATTCTATTCTACAACATGAGCTTATTTTTAACCTATTCGTGCATTTTTAGCCATTGTCCCTGTACTCTTAAAAGCCTTACAAGACCCTTCAAATGAAACATCAGTTTGCCTTCAAATATTGTTGGACACACAATTTGTACATTTTATCGACGCCCCGTCTCTAGCTCTAATAATGCCAGTAGTCCAGCGCTCTTTTATGGACAGATCAACAGAAATAAAAAAAATGTCTGCGCAAATTATAGGAAACATGTACTGGCTGACTGATCAAAAAGATTTATTGCCTTACTTACCAAAGATCTTACCGGGATTAAAGGCTTCTTTATTAGATCCTGTACCAGAGGTTAGAGCCGTAAGTGCCAGAGCTCTTGGAGCGATGGTACGGGGAATGGGTGAGTCGACATATGAAGATTTGCTACCTTGGTTAATGCAAACTTTAACATCGGAGACTAGTACTGTTGATAGGTCTGGAGCTGCTCAGGGATTGTCCGAAGTTGTCGGCGGATTGGGTGTTGAAAAACTTCATAAATTTATGCCAGAAATTATCAGCACTGCTGAAAGAAATGATATAGCTCCTCATATCAAAGACGGTTATATAATGCTGTTTATTTACATGCCTAATGTATTTACCTCCGATTTTACACCATATATTGGGCAAATTATCAATCCCATACTAAAAGCATTGGCAGATGAAAATGAGTACATTAGGGAAACCGCCCTCAAAGCCGGTCAAAGAATTGTTAATTTGTACGCAGACTCGGCTATTTTATTGTTGCTACCTGAACTGGAAGCGGGGTTGTTTGATGAAAACTGGAGAATTCGATACAGGTATTTTGAGTTGAGTTCCAAACAGCGACTTACATTTTAATTGTTTTTATTTAATTAGTTCTGTACAGCTGCTAGGAGATCTCCTTTACCGCATATCTGGAGTAACTGGTAAAATGAGTACTGAAACTGCTAGTGAAGACGATAATTTTGGTACAGAACAATCTCACAAAGCTATTATCACGGCACTTGGTGAGTTTAATATCCAAATGAGAAATATTTTTATAGTAATATAAAAAAGGAAACATAGGGACATATGGTTTGTATATTAAATTTTAAAAAAAAATATAACGAGAGGAACGTTGCTCCCTAGCTGTCTAGTGAAAACTAATCTACTTAATCAAGGTTGGAGTAGTTAGATGCAATAAGTTAACTAACTGGTACACAATACCAAATAATTCCTATAGCTACCTACTTACATAAGACATAAGCTCGCATATATGAATATTGATTGCAATCTTATAACTTCGAGTCAGAAGACCTCAATATGAAATGGCCGCTTAATTGTTAAACAAATGCTCTATTCCCAAAACAAAAAATGACTTCTATATGTAATCTGAAAAAGTCTCAAAGTTGTCTTGTTATATTCATGATATAGATTAGTGAATATAACAATCTTAACTATAGTGGACACAAAAGATAATAATTATGAATGTAACTAGATGCTATAATTAGGATACTCAGTTCAGAAAACACCTAATAGTGGGTCCATAAGCCATAGCCTTCATGACCCTGAAAGCCCTATTGTCTAAAGTAAAGACTTGACCCTCCTGCACTAAATTCCCCTAATAATAATATTTACAGGTGCTGAAAGACGAAATAAGGTATTGGCTGGTCTATACATGGGACGTTCTGATGTAGCCCTCATGGTACGACAAGCAGCTCTCCATGTATGGAAAGTGGTAGTGACCAACACACCTAGAACCTTGAGGGAAATTCTGCCCACTCTGTTTAGTCTATTGTTAGGATGCTTAGCCAGTGACAGCTATGATAAAAGGTGAGTTTTGATGTATGCCATGTTTCTAGTTGCCTATCAAACCAATGGAACGTACTGTTGAAAATACAAAATACACGCACGGCACAAAAATGTAGGTTTATACCATCAACTTTCTAGAAGTACTTTTTAAGGCAGAATCGAATGACTTACTCAATTTTTTTCTCCTCGAACACGTCAATTTTATTTTTTGTCGAGCATTTTTTATAAAATAAATTTATTATACAGGGTGGTTGCAGAAAAGCTGGATAGGTAGTAACTTAATTTTTTTAAATAGACACCCCTAATTTTTTATTTCATTTTCGGATTTCTGATAAAAGTCTAAGTATTTTTCATGAAACATGTCCTATACCTAAATTCAGCTAATTCGGAAATATTGACAGTTGACAATTGACTTTTTTGCAACTTTGAAAGGCTGTAAAACCTAAAGGGTTAATTTTAGAGGAGAACCGATTTCACATTCCTATCTTAGATTTTTATACACATCATTTGACATCAACTTTGAATTTAATCTATGATTAAAATTTCCAGTTGAATTTAATCTCCGGATAAATTCAAAGTTGGTGTCAAATGATAGTTTATGAAAATCTAAGATAGGAATGAAAAATCGGTTTTCCTCTAAAATTAACCGTTTAGGTTTTACAGCCTGTCAAAGTTGCAGAATAGCTATTTATACAATAAGTTACGAAATGAGCGTCTTTTAGGCACGCGACGTGAAAATTGTCCAACGAGGCAAAGCCGAGTTGGACAACACGTCGAGTGACTAAAAGACATCGTTTCGTAACGTATTGTATACAAGATTTTTTCTACTGGCATTTTATAATAAAAAAACACAATTTTATTTCATGTGAATAAGTCGATTACACCCAAAATCTTTGTTACCTGCTTTTACTTGACACCTGACACTTTTCATGCGATTTTCTTTTCAAAATTCGACATCAATAATTAAAATCCTAGAAAGTAGGTAATAACACAAAGTTCTGTTTTGAGTAACCCAAACGTTCAATTCAGTAATTCCATTTTCAATATTCATAATAAATACAAAACAAAATTCAAATATGTGTTCAGTGTGTTTTTTATTTCTGAATAATGAATGACACTTTTAGGCACTAGTGCTTAAAAATTACTTTTACGCACTCATAAGTCACTTTTACGCATTCAAAAGTCACTTTTACGCACTGAGTGCCTAAAAGTAACTTTCACGCACTCAGTGCCTAAAAGAATGTCGTTTCAAAACTGAAATGACAATCGAAAAGTTGCTATTATGAAACGTCAGTAGAAAAAGTCAATTTTCAACTGTCATTATTTCCGAAACAGTGGAAGATAGGTTTCATGAAAAACACTTAGAATTTTATCAGAAATCCGAAAATGTAAAAAAAATTAGGGGTGTCCATTTAAAAAAAATAAGTTACTACCTATCCAGCTTTTCTGCGACCACCCTGTATATTTATTTTATTTTATAAAAAATGCTCGACAAAAAATAAAATTGACGTGTTCGAGGATTTTTAAAAAAAATACTCGGAAGAATAATTATTAAATTTATTCCTTACTTTCCGGCCGCACTTTACAGATTATAATGTATGGTAATATTATTTAACAAAGTTTTCGAAAAAAATACGTTTTTAATACAAAACCTGAAGTTTTCCGAGATATTTTTTCATATAGGTTCTTCTCCGATATTTTCTTAATATTTTCAAATAATGTATGCTATTTTAGAGTGAAAAATTGAATGTTGCAACAGCCCCAAGGCAATGATTAAAAATACTGCTTCTTATTTGGCTCCCCCTGTATATTTTGATTAGATATTTCTTCTACAATTAAGGAAAGGCGCTCCTAATATTCACATAAAATTTCAGGAAAATCCGCCAAATTTAAAAACATATATTCAGAGTCAAATTGGGTTCCAAATAAATTTGGCTCACAGTGTACAAGATATCAATAACCCATTGTATAGCTCTGTGCTTATTCTCTCAAAATGGTATAAGGTTTAATAGGTCATCTTTAACAGTTTTGGAGAAAAAAAATTATTCCTGTTTTACTAGTTAGTATTAGTATCTGATAAGACAAAACGATAAATTGAACAATGGTTTCAGGTTGGAAAATTTTTCTTTAATATTTTATTGGAAAATTTTTCTATATAATTTTATTGGACAATTCTGTTATAAAATTTTTCTATGTATATTATGATTTTCTTCATAATATGTTTTTAGTTTTATATCCTACTGAATAATCATAAACAGGGTCTTAACTCCCAAGGGACTTAAGGATTTCCATAACTCCCGCGCGGGAGTTAAAGATATCATAACTTTGATTTATGGTTTATTCCTTTATAAAAACAGACAGAATACAGTAAATTCAGTAGTATATAAAATTATCTATGTACCACGGGAATTATCAGGTGTTAATACCCATTGGCAATTGGTGTCCTGGGGTATTAACACCCTCATAATTCCCTTGATACATAAATAACTATTACTATTAAAGTAGTTTTTCAGGCGCTCAGGGGGGGACGCGCGCCCCTCCCCTGGGACCGTCCCTGCTATAGAATAATCAAGATGATCAATTAGTTGGTCTATCGAGCTCAGTCACAGCCCCCTACATTTAACAAGCCATGAAGTTAAAAAGGCAACACCGCAATCTTACCGCCAAGTGGTGCTGGTGGTGTTTGTATAAATATATATTTTTTATTTTTTTAATATGAATCACAAAAAATACATAATTTATTGTACTAAAGGGCCAAAAACAGTAATTCAATGAATAATTTAACTATTTGTGTAAATAAGAACAGTAAATAATTGATTTAAATGAATATATTTCTAGAGTCTAAAGTGTTATAGGCCTATGTTTCAGTATGTCTTTTGAAAATCTAACTTTTTCTTTCTTCGGGATTTTTTTGGAAGGCAAGTCCATTCAAATACTTGAGCTGATTTTCGAAAATAAGAGGTACCTACTTTTAAGAGTTGGACGTTTTAGTTTGAACTCTCGAACTACGCCTTTATCCTTGTTTGTTTCAAATCTAATTTTTTCGGTTTCTTCAAAATGTTTACAACACACCACAAAATTTTTCGTTATTGTATAATCTCGGGTATAATTATCTTGGTGTATTGCTTTCATCCACATTTTTTGCACTTCAGAATTTTTTTGGAAATAAAAATGTTTGCATTTCTTCAGTTTTTAAGGAACTCCTAATAGTTCGATTTGCACCCAGGAACACAGTAGTTTCATGGCATCTGGAACAAGTTTAAATATCTTAGGTAATATATCGAGACCTATGCTCTTGCAGACAAATATTAATATTGTTTTTATTGTTTTACCTTACCTTATCTTCATTTTTGCTCCTGTACCCATTTGCTAAAAATTTGCAATCAAAGCACAAAGGAACAGGTATCAACTAAATATGGGCAATATATTGGTGTGTTTCTATCCACTTTTTCGTCAATAATGCCCATAAAAATACTAAATTGCAACAATACACAATGAAAGCAATACACAGAAACACATAACTACAGCCCTCTACACTTACAAGCCATGAAGTTGGAAATAACGGCAACGTCGCCAATGGTGCTATTTTGCTATTGAGGTTATATGTTTCTGTGTATTGTTTTCATTGTTTATTGCTAGAGTGAGGTGCATTTTCAAACGAAAAAGTGGCTAGAAACACCAATATATTGTTTACTTACTGTTTATATTTGGTTCATACTTGTTATGCCATTATTAGTTGTGTTTTGATTGTGAATTTATAGCAAATCCTGCAATCGGTACAGGAGCAAAAATTAAGGTGAGTTAAGGTAAAAGCAAATAAAAACAATATAATATTTGTTTCCACTTTGTAAAGTGCAAGAGCACATGTATAGGTCTCGATATTATTATTATCTAAGATATTTAAACTTGTTCCAGATGCCAAGAAACTGCTGTGTGCCGAGGTGCAAATCCAACTATAGGAGTTCCCTGAAGACTGAGGAACTGCAAACAACATTTTCATTTCTAAAAACTTCCGAATTACAGAAATTATGGCTAAAAGCTATACACCGAGATAATTATACGGTAACAAAAAATTCTGTAGTGTGTGCGAAACATTTTGAAAAAAATGAAATCATTAGATTTGAAACATACAAAGATAAAGAAGGAGTAAGTCGAGAACACAAACTTAAACGTCCAATCCTCAAAAGCAACGCTGTACCACATATTTTCGAAAACCAGCCCAAATATTTAAATAGACCTGCCCCTACCATCCGAAAAAATCCTGAAGCTAGAAAAAGTGATATTGTTAAAAGACATACCGAAACTGTAGAAAATTATCTTCAAAGTGATCTGATTCCAAGCTTTGAAAATTTTGTAAAACTTCTTGAAACTAAAATAACTCTGAATAAATGGCAATGTAAAGTATCTTCGACATTTGTACATTTTTATATGTTAAATATTGATCGTGATGGATATGACTGTGATATTGAAAATTTGAAAATTGTTTCCAGTGTAAGTGTTAGCCAAGAATTAGTGGTAAGTATTTTTGTTGGAGACAATGAGATTACAAGTAGTGACCTTATGTGGATTCTACCGAGTAGTAGAAAACTCAGTAGGTGGTCCCAAATAGAAAATTTATTGACTCGATACACTTTTGTTAATGACATTTCTTTAGATTCAATTTATTGTTTTAAAAAAGCTCAGTATTATCTTCAAGAAGGTATCAAAAAACTTGATGAAGGTTATGAGTACAAAAACTTATTAGGAATATTATTGAATCAACTCTTTTTACTTGATTGTAAAAAGAAAAGATATAGCATGCCAACTATGTTGTTTTCACTTATTATTTTTTGTCAGTCATCATCTACCTATGAAAGAATAAGAGATTTTTTTTTTGCCTTCTAGTCGACATTTACAACAAATTACAGCAGACCTACATGTTTCTCCAGAAAATAATCTTGATATGAATAATAATTATCTTTCATATATGTTTTCTACTCTAAATGAAAGAGAAAAAATTGTTAGCCTTATGCTTGATGAGA